GCATAATGCTCCTAACTTCTTATTATTTTACAGAAAAAAATGAGTTTTAAAAAAAAATCAAATATATAGAAATCTGAAGTATTTTTCTATTTGAATATACTCCAATGTGTAAGAAATAACTCATCATATATAAATACAAATCAAAGTGAAGATTGCCACAAGAATTCCGACACTATGGGTGTATCTCTTTTAAAACTCTCATTCACACTTGGGGGTTTACGATTTAAACTTCTCATGTTACAAGGTATTTGATATCAAATATAAAACCACATTCTAACAACAAATGAAACAATAAGATTTATAAAACCACTCTAAACATGTTTTGTTACAAAGCAATAAATAAAGGAAAAAAACTTTCAGACAAAAATAGGTTTTCTGCAACTTTTCACTTACTGCAGACAAGACATTTTCTGGTTCTTGCATATCCATTTTAAAACTGTTGAAAGTGTTTTTTTTTCTCTTATTTCTTTTTTTTTAATTTACTATGTCTACTGAAGATATTCAATGCTGAATTCTTTAAATATTAGTCACATTTAGGGTTAAAAAGTCAATATTTATATTTCATTTCTAAAGTTAAGATTCTTTAACCATTATCCTGGTGGAGTAGATAATAAAAATTATTAATATATATGCCAACAGTGTAAGGTGTTGGCTGACTAACATTTATGTTATCATCTTGATATCCCAAACATTCATAAAGGACAGTTCCAAAACTGGAAAAGGACAGTTCCAAATCTGGAAAAGGACAGTTCAGAAATGAAAAAAGACGATTCCAAAAATTGGAAAATGCAAAAGGACAGTTCCATAAATGGAAAAGGGCAATACCAACAAGAGCTGTCCGTAAGACAGCGCGCTCGACTTTTTTATTGCTTGCCAATAAAAAAAGTTTTTGCAGTAAAAGGCAATACAAGAATCTCTGTATTTTTAAAGTGAACAATGGCCATGAGCATTAAGATATTTAGTGAAGAATTATTTTACTGAATTGTGTGATACCCTTGAACACTGCAGCAAAGTTTGAAATGTTTAAGTCAAAAGAGGGCTGGTAAGAAAGAAAAAAAAACTGAGTTGAGCCTTAAATAAATTTAATAGTATTAAACCCACTTTGAGAGAATAAGGTATTTTTACGTCACTCAGAACACCTTGGTAAATGACATAATAACATAATTTTTCAAGAAATCTATGCCAAGGAAGCAGTATATTTTTGTACAATCAGCATAATATATAGATTTGACTTTGTATGTGAAAGTATTATAGTTATTATTATAATGAATTTTTTTAGATTTTTTAAGTTTTTTAGTGCTTGCCTATAATACAAAACATTGACAGTTAAGGGCCATAATTCAAATAAAATCTTTGACAGAATTACCTTCTCCTGGACATGTTTGGGAATCATGATTGTAAACAAGTATTCCAACTTTCAAATTAATATCTCAAACAGTTCAGTCAAAAAGTGGACTGGTACTAAAAAACTTAACCAAGATTCTAAGTCGATAAAAGGCCTTAATTTTTAAAACAAATCCTTGACAGAGTTACCTTCTCTTGCGTACAGATGGGGGTAATGATGTGAAATAGCATTAAAAGTTTCAAAGCAATATCTCAAAGGGTTAAGGCAATAAGTGGATTTTTACCCATATTCAATGTATTTTCTAAGTCAAAAAGGGGCATAATTCTGTCAAAAACCTTGACAGAGTTATGTCCTCTTGTCTGTTGATGAAGGTCGTGATGGTAAACAAGTATGGTCAGTTTCAAAGCAATACCTCCAATGGTTTTGAAATAAAGTGAGGTGGTACAAAAAACTTAACCAAGCTCAATACACTTTCTAAGTCAAAAAAGGGCCATAATTCTGTCAAAAACCTTGACAGAGTTATGTACTATTGTCTGTAGATGGAGGTTATGATGGTGAACAAGTATGGTAAGTTTCAAAGCCATACTTGTAATACTTCTGAAATAAAGTGGGGTGGTACGAAAAACTTAACCAAGGTGTGACGCCGACGCCGACGCCGGGGCGAGTAGGATAGCTCCCCTTTTCATAGAAAAGTCGAGCTAAAAATGAAAGCTGGAAAAGACTTAGTGCACTTAATAAATTCAGCAGGCTAAAGATGCAAAACCTAAATGAATCAAAAAAATGATTTCTACAGTTTAGCCATTAAATCTATTGTTAAAGCATCATCATCATTCTTCTATTCAACTTACAAAAAAAAAAAACATGATGTTTAAATGGCCATGTCATTCATAGCTTAATCATTATCAATGTTATCATCAGGCAACAGTAGATTAACACTGTATACACAATAATGGGTATCTGTCATGTCCATTCTAAATAATTAAGTAAAATATTGATTTCTGAACTACAGCAACTCTAATTGGTTTTTATCATGACAACAAAACATTTATATGGGAAGAAAAGTAAGCAATTTTTTATGGGAACACAAGTTAGTTACTTCCTTCCTCTGAGTTGCAAAATAAACCTACAGAGCAGTCAGTCTGCTAATCCCTAGTCTCGCAATATCTTTAATAGTGAGCTTATCACTTACTGATAAATGAAATCCCTTTAAAGGGACTCCACTGAGGTTTTTTGTCATGACAGGAATGGAAACATTTTTCCGAGATTTGTGTACCATTTGATGTAGGTCTGACCCAATAACTTGTGTGCAAATTTTCAGATCATTCCCTCACCTCGATTTTCAAAAATAATCATTTTTTTCATTGTTGTTCAAAATTACCCAAAAATGAGAGGCATTATGATTGAAACACTTTTTACTCAATTGCACTAAATTTTGATTGTCAATTTAATTCTGAGTATATTTCTTCATTATCTTTAGCTGATTTTCCATCTTAAGTGCTTCACTTAAAGAATTTTATGTTATTAGGCTCTTTGACGTCACTGCAACTCACTTAATCTTTCCTGTGCTAAATATCTCAAAAACACTTCAATCTTGTCTATGTTTTTTTTCAATCTGGGCAAAACCATTCATTATTTTGGGGAGAAATTTGAAAATATGCATCAATTTATTATTAAGTGAACACTCAACAGTGAAGTCCATTATCATAAAAGACTAGGCTTCCTGTATCTGAAGGCAAAATTAATCATAAATGTGCCATATATAAGTATCAAGGGCGTTAGGTGATAATTTCTTGTCCAACTTTTGTATTTCTTTCCATCGATCATATTTAATATACCTATCCTCATTATAGTGCCTTAATCAGCATGTTTTCAATTTCAGTGATTCTGAGATCAAGACTCAAGTTACTAAAACCAACCAGCACATAGTAAAGTGTCCGAATGACACCTCATGAAAGTGTAGACTGGCCAATGTTAATAATGATGACCTTTACATGTCATGTTTAAAGCACATTAAGTATAGTTAAGTAATTTGTGATTCAAAGCTAGGTACTTTCTATCCATACACAATGACCAACTTTGCACAATTTTCATACAAAAGTGATTAAACAGACACTTGGATGACTCTGTTTAAAGCACACAAAGCCGCAAAAAAGCAATGTGTTTTTGAATTAAATACTAGAGCTAACCCTTATGACCTATGAGTAATAGGGGATTGGGGCCAGAAGCCGTTAGGTAGGGTGAATTTGCATTGTTTTAAACAATTGAAAATTACTTCATTGAGTTATTAAGTAATAGCCGAAATATTAAATTATACATTGTATTATATAAATGTTTGTTTTGCTATTTAAAAGTTAGAGAATGGAGATAACAGACAAGGCTTGAGTCGAACAATTATTTTTAAGAGGCTCACATATATATGTAACTGTTAACATAAAAGAGGACTATTCTATAAGCAAATCTAAAGGAGTGACAATGCAACACATATACTATAATCAGAGCAACAGATAAGGTGCGTATTTGCGTATCTACACAATTAATTTTATAAAATACGCAATTGATTTTTTAAGAATGCGTATCAAAACCCATTTAAAAAAATAAAATACACTATTGTCTTAAAAACCAGTGCGTATTGTCATTTTCATCACCACAAAATTAATGTGTCGTACGCTCGTAGTTTTGGACAAATTATATGGATATGCATGCTATCCGAATATTCCCGAATCACTGCTAACTAATCAACGGTGCTCCGGTCTTCGACGGTCCTCGTCTCCAAAGACCGACTAATAAGCCATCTCAATAAGCATGAGAACCGTCGATTTGTTCTACTCAGGTCGACGGTCTTAACAGACCTGCAGAGACGTATTAAGTAGGTCACCCGCCCCCCAGCTGTATCAATAGACACTTTGAAGACAATATGGCGTCGGTAAAAGGGAAAATAATTGAACTAAACAGTAGTAAAATATCAAAATCAGTCAGAAAACGAATTTTTGTTAAAAGTATTATGAATATAACATGAAGATTTTATATAAAAAATAAAAACAATTGTGAAAAGTTCTAGTAAAATTGTTATCCTATTTTGTTTATAAAACAGTTTAAAATTTTATTTGATATTGAAACCATAAAATTCATAACTTCATAATTGAATACCCAATTGATCTTGAAATCATAGGGTATCGAGTTTTGGAATACCCAATTAAATGGAGCCAATACCCAATTCCAAAGGAAATGATGGAGTAATACCCAATTCACTTTTAAAGCTTATCTGTTGCTCTGTATAATTGTAATGATAAATGAGTGGCAGTGTGCCTGAGTGGTATATGCATCAGACTACTAGTATTCTAAGGATTGCTGACCACATGGGTTCAAACCCTGTCAAGGGCAAGCCAATGTATCCGTAAGCAAGAAACTACACTTATTGCTTAGTACTGGTTGGTTTCAGGAACTGACTGGAGAGTGTTTCAATCAGCTTATAGCTTCAAACACAATCAAACTAAAATAAATCTGTATAAACAAAAATATACCATAATGTACTTTGTAAACCAGTATGTTCTGGAAAATTGATGTAGTGTTAAAAACATCATACTAGTTCATTCCAAATACATAAATCACGCTTTGATACCTTAAACACCAAGTGTATCAATAAAGAAAATCTTACCAAGTTTGACTTCTCCATCTAATGTAAGAAGAACATTTCCTGCTTTAAGATCCCTGTGTATGACATGCTGTCTATGGACAAATGCCAATGCTATACACATTTCATGACATACATATCGGATCTGGTTCTCATTCAGTGGTTTCTCAAGGTCAACCATGATACTGTCCACAGCCCCACCACCACAAAACTCAATGTACATCTGTGAAAAAGAAGAAAACAATAACTAGGTGATCATTATTTGCAAAGAAGGAACAGATTTTTAGTTTCTGACTGTCATGGTGAGGTCAACATTTAACAATAAATATTTTAATGTTATAATTCATCTCTACAGCATACATTCACCTTTTTACCATATTACTAATTACTACAGGTACAGCACTAAATTAAAGCTATTACTTTTCAATCAGTTTTTCTGTTGCATTCAATTTTTAGACCTACTCCAGATTCTTTATTTGAAATTTACGTCTCATAATCAGACATGGACCGTACCATGATACATCTGAAACTCTGAATACCACCTCTATCCTTCTGTAAGAAGAAGCTGGATAGCTTCCTCTCATGAAAAAAATCAGTTAATGGTGAGTAAAAACAAATGACCGAAGTTTATAAACTGTCCACTGTGTAAATTTTGAGTGAAGGAAGGTTTAGTGATATTGCATACATAAAAACTGTCATTGATTCAGCGCAAACTGCAAAGCATATCAATGATATATCGACATCAGATGACAAATATTGGTTCACTGTTTTTATCGACAAAGTTTTAATACATATGAATGCAGGCAAACCTTTTAACAACAGGTGTACAGTATTGTACAATTTTAAGGAATGGTACAAACTATAAAGTTTTATAAAGTTCAAATTATAAATTTGTATGAAGTTCCAATTATTACTATACCTACCCATAATTTTCCTCCAAAAAAGTATGTCTCATATAACCCAACAACATTTACATGTTTACACTTGGTCAAGATGTCTATTTCTACAAGGAAGTCTTCCAAATCATCATCCGCTTTAATCTCAACTTGTTTCAATGCAGCCAATGTTCCATTATCTCTATTCTGAGCCTGAAAGTGTTCATGATTGTTAGAATGAATTACAACTCCCTCAATGCTGCAGCAATAACAAAAATGTCAATGCTTAATCCATGAGAGCAGAACAAGACCAGTCAGCATATATGTGAAACCTTACCAAATTCCACAGCTGGATAGGTAGGTAACAGTCCACTTCAGACAAGAGATTTTGAGACTATGTATGATTCCTTGTTACAAACATGGTGCTAAACTTGGACAAAACAAATTTAACAATTTGAGACCTCAGGCACCTCCAGGCTATTTTTTACTACTGTCAGTTTCAAATGATACATCCCTCTTTTTAAGAGTATAGTAAGACAGGTAACTATTTGAATTTCATTGCACTACATAGAGGAGTTTGAGGGTATATCTGTTTTAGTTCTTATTTCAAATATTATTTCAGATCTACATTGTTACTGTTGCATGTTTGTGCATTTTATCTGCTTTTTCAAACTAAAAATTTGAAACATAAATTTATTAAATGTCTTTAATAATTTTAACAGGGCTGACAAAATCTGAACTTACAGGTCCATATTAAATATTATCTGAAGCATATCTTTACTTGTCAGCAATAGCAATATCATGATTTCCAAAAATAATTCACAGGTTCGTACAGGCTGTGGGACAACCTGGGTAATACTGACAATTGATTTTGCCCTCCCTGCTATAACTGTATAAGCTAGGAGTCACCCGACTTGTGTTTTCCAATGTTTAATATCTAAAAGATTTATAACAGTAAACACATGAAGATTCAGTAAGCAGGAGTGTTCTGGCATGTGTGTATGAAATTCATATTGAAACAAGTAAGATACTTGCCCATACACAAAATAGCACCATATCGCATCGGTAGTACAATTAGTTGGACTATTGTATAGCTCTATAAGCTGCTTTCCAACAACCAAAGTTTATGGAGAAAAAATATTTGGCCTGTAATAACAGCGAGCCAGATGATCTTTGGGATGGTTTGACTTTTATCCAATAGTTTGCTTAGTACACGTCGGTTTGTACACATTGTCACTAATTTAATGCAAAAGTGCATACATGTGCAAAAACAAAAGTAATATACATTAAGTTAAACACCTTCCGCCTGATTGCCAGCACTAATTTGTATCCCGGGACAACCAATATTCAATCAGTTAAGCCATTTTTAGCCAATAATAAATGGAAGGAGAAATTATACTTCAAATTTATTTTAGCTATTAATGCATCTATCAACACTTTTTCATTTTAAGGTTGGTACATTTTCAACAAGTCTTGATCTTTCTTAGAAATTCAAATAAAAAAACGATATGACCCACTCAGGTCACTCTCAGAAATATTTTACCTAATTCAAACAGCAGGGTAATCATTATGGAAAATTTGTTCAAGATAAATCAGGGCTATTAAGAATTGTAGAAAATTTCACAACAGTCCATTCAACAATTTTCAACAGTTTTTTTCAAGATTTTAAAAAAACTTACACTTAATGTTATAACATATGTTCAGTGCAATGCATTGGTATGACTAATGTTAATGTGTATAAAAAGGCAGTTAAAGGTTGTCACTTCTTAGTACGCTATTTGGGTTGCAAAATGATAAATGCATCCAATCTTTACAGCATTTTTACCTTCCCCACTTTATAATACTAGCAAATACGGAAAACTTGTTTAGGATCTGCCAGTTGCTATTGCCTACAAAACAATTATTCTACAATCATCACATGAAAAAATTGATAACAATAAAAGATTTTATTAATAAGGACCCCCATGTAAAGTCTGATGAATATTTAGTGGTACATCATATAAAATAAATGTTTTAAATACACTTAGGACTGAGGTAAATGGTAAAACTCTTTAGCCAATACTTTATAAAAAAAAATTAACTTGCTTGGAAAAATTTTTCCACTATTTTAAACAAGTGACTATTTTGATATAGTTGAAGTTGGACAATTTATATTGTGTCACTTAAAACAAACAGTTTCTTATTGTTTTACTGATAACAACTGACAATTAATCAAGTATGGCATTTCTGCAAGTTTTGAAGTTAATACAACATGTGACTTTATGCAATTTAGTCAGACATGACATCAGTGCCACAGAATTAAGAATGTGTTTGAATTTAGGTTGTGATTGAAAATTGGTTGTTTCGGGATATACAGACTGACACACTTTAGCAAGCAATACCTCTAAAGTCAATCATAATTAGACTCTAAAAATTGAACACCATTATATTGCATGTCAATCTTTCAGATACAGGCCTACACTATTTCATATCTTTGGTACCCCACCCTTTACACTTGTGGGCATTTGTTTTCCATTGAACTTTTGAAATTTTTACCTTGTACACCTTTCCAAAAGCGCCATCACCGAGCTCACCAATGATATCCCATACATGATTTGGGTCTTTGTCTCTTATTATATTTCTATTTTCTAGGGGGTTACGCCCTCCTTCTCTTCCTAGACCAAACAGCTTTTTGAAGCTGCTCAAAAATGACATTTTTTCACGTCAAAATCTGACAGTTTCTAGGAAGTCTTTGTTAATGTCTGCGGTAATTTAAGAATCATTCGCATTCATGAATGAGTATCATAATATAATAAATGCATGTGACAATTGAAATTTGATAATTAACTTAAAATAGTCCGATTTAGTAACATTTTCAAGGACTTTCACTTATTTATTACGGTGGAAATACTCCATCTTGTTTCCACTTGCGCATGCGCATGGAGTACACAATATTTACTTCCGTGTTCTATTACGGACCGCGTCTACTATATTTGTAGGGGTGTTTATTTAACCAGTTATAATTTGCCCATAAATAATTTGAAGAGATGACCAACCGTGCTATGGGTGAAAGGGAAATATAAACTTTAATATTGGGATATTATGTAAGCACGGCTATAATCATGGATTTAGATTTTAACTCAGAGTTAAATTAAAGCCCGTGCTAATTTATATTTATAGATCAAACTTGCACGAGGACTTGTAGAATCAATGTTAGTACTTAATGCGTGATTTAACTTAACGTGAGGATAGTTCTAGGCATTTTAATAACTAATGCATTTCATATAAAAAAAAATCACACCAAAATTGAGTTTCACCACGGTTTTAATAACGTAATAAAAGCCGTGGTCCATCGTAATCTATGACATAATATAACTTAATTATCTTCCTTTAATAACTACTGCTCTACTATTCCACAGGCTGCAAGTTTATCATCATTTGGTGCTCGTACTTAAAAAAATATAACAGCAAAGACATAAAAGCGCAGATCTATAGACACAATTTCTTGAAAATTATAGAAGCACTGATATTTGATCGCAACACAGTCATATTTCAAGAACTTTTTTTATGTCACATGTAGATTGTAGTATATTTTATGTCATAAACATGTCAGAATCATAAAGGCACTTGGTTTCGGGATAAAAATCCTTTTGAGAGGTTTGTAGAACCCAAATTTGATTGAATATAACGAGTTTAAACGTAGATTCTAAAACGTAAGTAAATTTTAGTTTAGTTACATCTGAAAAAAGACGGTTTAATTAAGTATCGACAATTGCGTTAAAAATCGTTACATTCAATCAAATTTGAGATTCTACAAACCTCTAAAAGGGAGTGTTTATGCCTATGGTCAGAATTATCTAGCTAAATTAAAATCTATCAGTCCATTATGACCCCTGTCCCACCCTTTTGCGGGAAATAACGCAGTCAAATTGTAAGGGGAACAACTGCCTATGAAATTTGTTATAACTGTGCTATTGGATTGTTTCCCTTGATCATCACACTTGAATTTTGAAAGGAACTAAATTATCTTCTTTCAAAGGATTACACAATTGTATTCTATTAAACATTGTTTTAAATGTGTTATTGCTAATATACTTCTTCCAGTGATGTAGTTTACATATACATGGTGAATTTCATCAGGGTCTTTCAAATAATTCTATTTGAAAGACCCTGATTTCATGTATACGGTAGTATCACATAAATATAGTCCTTATTTTATATTTCCTATTCTTATATTTTCTATTCTGATTTTTCCTAAAAATAGGATTTGTAAAGAAAACTATAATGTTAAATCCTGAATAAGCTATCTAGTAATATGAACACAATACATGTTGGCTTAAATTAAACTGATCCTGGTAAGTTTTGACCAAACCCTTTCATATACATGTATTATATCCTGTACAATATTAAGTCCCACAGAATTAGTATGGAACTCAACTCTATATTACACGCACACCACATTTTTAATGGAAATTTAGATGATTACTACAAGTAGGTTATTAACTTGGTTGGTATAATTATATTACGCAGATAAGGTCAATTTCATCGTTATAGGCTTACTGTCCATTAAAGCTATGTGTGGATTTGTTTTCCCCATTTCATGAAATATTTTTAGCGGGTTAAAATTAATGATAGCTTCAAAAATCTGTGAAAAAGGCTGGGTGGTTTTTTGTTTGATTGTTTTTTTTTCCTACAAAATATCTCAAGTTTGAAATAAATCAAGGGACTTATACACTTAAACAATCATCACTTAGGGTGAGGCAAGAAAAATATCAACCCAGTGTCGTCTTAAACTTTGAATTAGTTTTGAGTATGATAGCAGAAAATTTTAAGTGAAAACACGGGTGTGAAGCAATGAATATTAAGTTTCTTGCTCTACCAACCAGCTCCTGAGTCTGACGGGACTTGAACCCACATAGCCACCAATCCATAGATCACTAGTCCGATGTGTTTGATCAAAAGTAAAATATGACAATTCACTGTAAACAACATTACACCTTTACCATGAATTATTATAAAAGCCAGGCTAACATCAACGCAGTCTGATCAAGCTCTGTACTGTTATAGTTGACAGAACTTAGATTTTTATATTTCTATCTTGATAATGGACAGTTCTAAAATAAATGGAAGCTTGAAAAGTCAATTTATCAAATTCATGAGGTGAATGGTTAGACTTGCAAATCTGTACAGTCTTACCAGAGTCAGCACTGTCGTCTGCTCAAGTTTAACCTTCCTTTACTTGCAGTCAATCACATTACCTTTTCTACAGCAGGACTGAGTGCGTTATTTGGCTAAAATGCCCGCAGGTTAATATAAGCAAACACAGTGTGAAAGGTAAAATGTATATAAAACGTTTTTGAAACGTTAAACTTGCAGAACTTTTTCTATTATATACATAAAACGACATGAAGAAAAATCTGTAAACTCTATATTTTCCTACAAATTATGTATGAGCTTTTCAAAATGTCATAGCAAACTTAAAATAGCAAAATCCGAAACCCGCTTGGTCAGCGTTATTATAGTTATATATAAACCAATCTAAGACATATCTGTAAAAATTAGTCTTCTTTATAATAATAAGGAAACGGCATATTTTTTTTAGAGTCTGGCCTTTTATTGTAAAGGGGCGTACAGCTCTTTGTTCCTTTCCCGTATGAGAAGGGGAATCTTGTGATGAGTGTATGTGGTCGCACGGCCACTTCCCTTCCAAAATGTCCTCGATGCGTGTATGTGGCCGCACTGTCAGAGGCAGTGACAGTAACAAGTTTGAAACTGATAATTGTGTCCTTCAATATGCAAAAAAAAATCGAATATGCTCTTCCCTATAAAAAAGCAAAAACAAACTGATTCGTTTTTAATGTCCATCAGTGTTCTTTAACGTGTCATACTAATAAAATGAGGTTCTGGTACATTTATGTTATATAAGGTAACCAGATACTTTCAAGTCCACAATTCATATAGAATTGGCATTATCTCGTAAAAAATGTCTCAGCCACATTTTATTCACTTGTTTTATTAAAATATATGACAACGGATTTTTATATAAATCCGTGATATGACTTGGTCTTATAGGCTTAGTTTGGCAAATTTCTCGGGTATGCCGAATATCAAAAACTATAATGTAATATATACTATAATTATTGTTTTAATACATATAAATTTAGTGAAAGGCCTATAATTCAGTGAAATCCTTGTTAGAAAAGAATAATCACAATCCTGAAAACTTGCGCGTGAATTTTCAAGTGAATATCTTACATAATTTTGCAAACAGAATCATAACAAGGAGTTTTCAAATCTCAAAAAGGGCTAGCTATATATAATTCAATCGAAATTCAAGCCCCCCCCCCCCCCCCCCCCCCCCCCAAAAAAAAATGCTATTATAAATACTTCATTTTCTTTTACTTTTTTATGTCCTGTTACATTTCCCGGAAAAGTACTCTTTGGCCATTTTTTCTGTGAAGTATGAAGTGAACCATATTTAGCTTCATGATTTGAACAGTTATAGTGATTTAGTATTTTGTATGAAAGTCAAAATAATACTTTTTTATGTTTTCCTACCTTTATGAAAAAAAAATAATTATTTCACCTTTTGCTTTGAAATCACGTTAAATCCATTATTAAAATAAAGCTTAACAAGTGTTTGTTCCTGCGAAAGAAGAAAAATGAATCTTAGGCATTATGTGTTTTCAAGTTATAGGCCATAGAAGGTGGCTTACAATTATGATAACTATAAGACTTATGCTTGCAAATTCGAAAGAACGCCTTCAGCAATTGCGGACATTGATCTTGCACGGGAATTCCTTCTTTGCAAATGAGCTATACAATTCCATCAAATAATTGACTATAATTTAAGTTGAAAAAAATTAGAGTAAAATAAAAACGAAACAGAATAATGATTTAACATCTTTTGATTCGCATTTATGTGGGAAGAAAAACATTTAGTGGTGTTCAACTTTGACCCATAACCTAGCCGTTACGGTCTATTTATACAATGTGGAAATCACAAACTCTTTGCATGATGCTAGTAGGTCAGATTGTGCTAAAAATAGATGGACTGTGTTCGGCGTTTGCACTCTTGTCAATATAATTTTTCTTACTAATATGTAAAATCCAAAACCAGTCAACAGAGTGAATGTACATGTACTGATGCGAGATCATCAGCTGCCAAATTAGAAAGAGAAAGCGACAGAAAGGGAGGCACTCGTCTTTAGCTAAGGTGAGTACATATACATTGAAATTTGTGTGATGTTATGAAGTATCAATACAGTCATTCTATTTGGATTTGTTTATTTTCTTCTTTTGAATATGATAATTTTTTGATATATCGTTACGAATTCTAACACGTTTTTTTTCCGAGAAGTGATTCATAAATTAATTGCCTGTCATGTATTCAGTATTATTAATTAAGTTCGTGCCGTTTAATTAAAGTGGTAACATTACTGAACATTAAATCTACTTTTGTTTGGACCTTAATTGACATTAAGGTTCGTGGTTTTAACTTTTAATCAGCTAAATAATTATCTTCATTATACCAATATCATTAATGAACACCAGTCAGGTTTCCGGAGACATCATTCTTGCCAAACGGCTTTGATCCGCCTTATAAATGCTTAGCTTACGAATATTGATGATGGAAATATAATAGGTGCTGTATTTTTAGATTTTAAAAAAGCCTTTGATTTAGTTGACCATAATATACTGATTCATAAATTAAAACTTTATCATTTTTCTGAAAACTCTGTACAATTTTTCCAGTCATATCTCTCTAACAGAGAGCAAATTGTAAAAGTCAACAATGATAAATCTGAAAGCTTACCGGTTATATCAGGCGTGCCACAGGGCTCAATCTTAGGTCCTATACTGTTTCTTTTATATGTAAATGATATATCAGTCACTACGAATTCAGACATTGATATGTATGCAGACGATTCAACATTACACATAGCTGACCAAAGTTTGAGTAATATACAGTCTGAGTTGCAACTAGACTTACTAAAAATACAGGAATGGTGCACTCTCAATAATATGGCCATAAATCCAGAAAAGACCACGTGCATGATAATTGGATCAAAATGTAAAATAAATAACATAGGCAATCTTTCTCTGCATATTGAGAATTCGAGTATAAATAATGTTCATTGTCAAAAGCTACTTGGATTGCATATTGATAACTGTCTATCTTGGAAAACACATATTGACAAAAACATGTTCTAAGCTTGCTTCTAAAATATCTCTGCTGAAAAGAATTCAAATATTTCTTACACCTGAAATGAAACAATTATTTTATAACGCTTACATTGCCCCTACTTTTGATTATGGATGTATTATTTTGGTCCCAATGTAACAAATCAGATCTAAATAGAATAACAAAAATTACAAAAAAGAACCGCTAGAATTATTTTAAATAAACCCGTAAAAACAAATTCTCTTGATATGTTTCAAAATATGAAATGGTTATCTTTTCCATCTAGATGTAAATACTTTTCTGGCATTATGGTATATAAAGCGATGAATGAATTAACGCCAGCATATATTTCTAATCTAATTCCGTTATCTCAAAATAAAACTTACTTACTAAGATCAACACATAAAAAAGATATTATGCATAAACGACCTAAAACAAATTATTTGAAACGTACTTTTTATTATTCTAGTATGGAGTTATGGAACACTATTCCTTTAAAAATAAGAAATATTTCAAGTCTTAAATTATTTAAATCACATTTCAAACATTTATTATTATCTAGAGATGAATTATAGAAAATTTACCTATACTATAACATAATATTATGTCTGTCTTCTTTGTTGATTAAGATTTACTGAATGTTGTAATCTTTACAATTGCTTGAATATGTCCGTTGTTATGTTTATGTTTTATTGAAGGCCTTGTTGAAAATAAGATTTTGCATTATATGTGTTGTATCTAATGCTTTGATGTATTGTCTTTATAAGTTACCTTCGTTAAATAAAGAGTTTATTATTATTATAATGTACATTAATTGCGTTTGTATTTTGTCAGTTTCTTGATGGTTTAACATATGTCAACTTTTTAACTAATTAATGCATGACATTATTTTTAAAAAAGCTCAAATTTAGATCAGCGGGCTAGAAGGTTTTGTGACTTTAGTCTGATCGAGTTTAATTTCACACGATCTGTCTAATTTTTCAGAACTTTGATTTGGTCAGTGTATATCTTAGAACTATATGCCATTTTTTGATGAATCAATTAAATACCTGAGATCAAAGTTTCATTGTAAATTTAGAAAAAAATATTTATAACCTTGGTCATATCCTGTTAATAAATCACAAATTAAAGGAAGGTAATAAATCACAAATTAAAGGAAGACCTGTATGTTTAGGCATGTCATTATTAATAATATCAACACGGATTTATAATTAAGATCCGTGATATTTATTAATGACAGTTTCGTGACATATGTACAATGTTATTTCATCATGACACAGTGAAACTTATACAACTGTAACAAGTAGTGGTTTTTCTAACTTAATTGGGAAGAGACTTTAGCCTCTTAATTCTGGGAAAAAATATCACTAAAATTGCTAAAATTTTAGAAAGTAAAAAAGCTTGTGTAATTTTAGATATTTGAGAAAACTGCTTGATTTTTAAAAAAAATCTTTGATTGGGAAGAATCACTGACAAGGTACATGTTGTTCAGATTTGTTTCATCCTTTTTGATTTATATTAATTAATTAATTAATTAAGTTAAGCATACTGAATTCAATTCAACAGGATCAGTAAAATGAGAAGTTGATTGTTCAACATAATTATATATGTTTTTAAGTACATGTATATATTTATGTTGATATGGTGTGTAAGTTTGTTAGTATCACTTGTTTTTACAGAGAATATAACAAGAGAAAGATGGTTAAAGATAAGAGAAGTGAAAGTGAGAAACATGTGTGCCAGTAAGTAAAATCTTTTATATCTTCAGTTTTCAAATAACCACTTTTTGGGTAAACTGTTAAAGCTTTCAATAATCAAACTTAAATTTGAGAAGGACACACTAACAAGTTGCTGCTGTAGTTTGTGTATTGAAGACATTGGTATCTCTTAATCTGCTGGCAGCTGTTGAATCTACCTACGGGAACCAGTACAGTCAGATCATGGTCTGCAATGCTTATGTCAGTGACATCTGATCATGGTCTGTTGTGTTTATTTCAGTGCCATCAGATCATGGTCTGTACTGTTTATGTCAGTGCAATCAGACAATGGTCTGCAATGGTTATGTCAGTGCAATCAGATTCTGGTCTGCACTGTTTATGTCAGTGCAATCAGATCTTCTGCACTGTTTATGTCAGTGCAATCAGATCATGGTCTGCACTGTTTATGTCAGTGCAATCAGACAATGGTCTGCAATGGTTATGTCAGTGCAATCAGATTCTGGTCTGTACTGTTTATGTCAGTGCAATCAGATCTTCTGCACTGTTTATGTCAGTGCAATCAGATCATGGTCTGCACTGTTTATGTCAGTACAATCAGATCATGGTCTGTACTGTTTATGTCAGTACAATCAGATCATGGTCTGTTTATGTCAGTGCAATCAGATCATGGTCTGCACTGTTTATGTCAGTATCTCTACTTGTAATAGGGTTTGTAAGCAAACAGCATGGATCCTGATCAGACTGCACAGATGCGCAGGCTGGTCTGGATCCATGCTGGTCGCAAACGCATTGTGTTGGTTTTGTCGTGACGCGGCTCAAATGTTTAACAAACTCATTGTTATTATATGTGAAATAAATAGAAAGAGATTTACTGAGTGTTACTAGATCATAGAGAAATACTGATTTATGTAACCATTTATGCATGAGTAAAAGCAGCTTCCACCAGTTATCTAAAATGTATTTAAAATTTTTGTTTTTAATAGTGTATGTTGTAAAAATATTTGAGCCGCTTTACGACAAAACCAACATAATGGGTTTGCGACCAGCATGGCTACAGACCAGCCTGCTCATCTGCGCAGTCTGATCAGGATCCATGCTGTTCGCTATCAGTTTATTTACTTGTTACAGGGTCTGTAAGCGAACAGCATGGATCCTGATCAGACTGCGTGGATGCGCAGGCTTATCTGTATCCATGCTGGTCGCAAACACATTATGTTGGTTTTGTCATGACACGGCACATTTATTCTTTTATTTCAGACCTCTTGACAGGAGACACAACTTTGGTTATGGACAGAATCCGTCCGGTGTTCATGGCAACTTCCCTCATTCAGCTCCCAATCAATCGTGGGCACCAGCGTCTCAAAACCAATCTGAAATTTACCGGCACACACAAGCCTGGGGCTCGGTATTTAGGGATAGAGCTCATTTTGTAGAAATGCATTTAGTTTAGTAAAACTTTTCACTATTGATATATTGAATACCTAAGAATGTAATTGTGATGAAATTTTGTGAATTATTTTGAATGAGGATTCATGTCATTTATATACATTTGTATATGAATGATTTTTGTACTGTTTTTGTATGATTATCAGGTGATAGTGAAATTGTGTAATTGTGCTATTTATATATGTGTAATGCAATTTATACATTTTATTTTTCTAAATTCCTATATATGTATATATGTTATGAGAGACTGAAACATAATGTTGTGGGTTTTTTTTAATACAAATACTTTGTAATGTTAGATCTCTGTTAATATGTATTATGTTATATTAATATGTACCTGTATTTTCAATATTATATTGTATGTTTTAAATGCATGTATGCCTATAATGCAAGATTTTTAAAAGGGTGTTTGTAAATAATTTATATTCTCTAATAAATGCACCAAGGGGTGTTACATTTTCCAAAAGGGCGGGTTAATCAAATTACAAAAAATGTTAAATATTGACAAGATAAAAAGACTATTATTTTCACTAATTTATATATACTGGAATGATAAACAGTTGAAATTTGTGCTAATTTCTTTGGATTTATATAAGTGGAGAGGAGGGGAGATTTATCAGAGTATGTACTGTATATGTTGTATTTGCTTGAGATCGAAAATAAGTGTTTGCTAGACTTAAGGTGCTACTTCCATCATAAGCATGGACATTATACATAAATTTTTTGTTTGGTAATTAAGATAAAATTAGGGTCAATATGATCTGAAGTTGGATTATTTTCGGCCAACACAAGTCTTTACAAATAAGTGTTTTTCATGCTGTAAGAAAAACAAACATAAAGAGCCCAACATCCAACATTCAAAATTTATTGGCGTGTTTCGCTAGATAGCTTAAGACCTGTAACAATTAATCAATTACATCTAAATCATTGCAAAAAAATAAATGAAACACAAAGTTTGTAATTGTTTGGTGTATTTTTTTGTATTACTTTTTTTCCCCATATTTTATTAAGAAACAAACTTGGACATTATACAAGTTTTTGATGTAAAGAGAACCTTAAAAGATCACATAATTCGCATAACATAATCATGATATAGAAAATAGTACAAAGCATGTTTGAAGAGTAAAATTTGTGGATTGTCATATGTTATGTTACTTTTTTTTTTTAAGCCATTAGAAAAACAAAACTGTAATATGAGCCATAAATAACTGTGCAATAACATATGGCAGTTATGATTACCTCTGTACTAAGTATTTTTTTTAAATGCTTTACTTCATACTGTTGGTGTTTCTGTTTTTTTTTTACTGCCATTTAATATATTAAAATTATGATATAATAAAAAATGAAATTATTATTTGCAAATATTCATCCGGTGATTGTTTTTTTTTATTAAAATGTGTTCAATAGTTCCCATTTTATTCTATAATTTGTTTTTGCTATTAATTTGCCAGTGATTTCTTTCAATATTTACCTCAATTTGACTAAAAGATATACTAAATTTATGTATTGTGTCTGTTTGTTTTTGTCACATATACTATTATTAATTTCAATGCAATTACATTTTGTCAGTTATAATTTTCCTCACTGTTTTATACAAGAATTATACTTTATCTTGTGTAATATTGTCTTTTTGATAAGGATGTATTGTTTTGGTTACCTCCCTTTTTCCTGTCTTATCATTATTTGATAGCATTTCAAGTATTTCTCAGATGTCTTTTTGATTTATATGCCAGTATTTGGAAAAGTGTTTGCACATAAATTTTAATGCTGTAGATCATATCAAGAAAAAAATTCCTTTTTCAGATGACTTTTTTTTGATTAAAGGCCCAATTTGCTAGAGAAATGCTACCAGTTTTTATTTATCAAAATCTGTTGATTTTTGGTATCTTGTTACAGTTTTCAAAGAACTGCCCATTTGCCATATACATGAAACAATTGTTTAACAACTATAGTTCTGTTGGCAATGGGATATAATTATAATGAATAAGTATTTTGCATGAAAGTCAAAATACTACTTTGTTTACATTTTGGTACCTTTACAACATATTACTGCAAATTCAACGCTACTTACTGAAGCTGTTTTGCATCTTACATGCACTAAATCCATTATAAAAACACAATTAAACACTTGTCAGACATTTCTGAAGAATTAAAAAATATTGATTTCTGAGGCATGATGTGCCTTTAATGCATTATTTTATTGTTGTCCTACGTCATTCTGATATATATGGTGGTGTGAAATGTTTTGTCTAAATTTTACCTTTATTTCATAATTTTGGTGTATTATTTCCTATTATTAATTTTTGCCTTTATATTAAAATTTTAGCTATTCTTTGAATTTTCACAATCATAATTATCATACAACGTTTTCCTGCAGTATAATTATCATATAGCCCTTCATGTAAAAATGTACTTTTCATCATAATTATAAAATATTTTTTTAACTTGGATAAGTTTGTCAGCTTCATGGCTACTAATTTTATTATATAATTGTGTTTTTTGCCCTCCTATGTACTTTCCTGTCTTTATATTTAACCTGTATTTGTATTTGCTAGGCCAAGCAAATTATATAACAATGTTCAAGCAAATCATTTAAATCGCATATTTACATTATTTTCAGGAATTTGTTGTCAATTATTATAAATTTGTATCAAAAGTAGGTCATAGAATATTTGCATTCAAACTGGTACTTCTTTCAACACACTATTGCACAGTCACAAGTTGTAAATTTGTTTTAACGCATTTGTGACATCGGGTTATTTTGTAATTTCGTAAAATGTTATTCAATAGGCATGTATTGTACATGTACATATTATTCAGTTTCAAAATTTTTGCTTTTGTTTGCCATTTGCAACAGTTGCAATAAAGTGGCTTAAACTTTTACCCTTGACTGAATCTGTTGTATATCTTCATTCTTAAAGGAACCCCACTGAGGTCCAAAAGCTCAAAAACAAGAAATTTTATAACATAGATCAGCTGGGGCACTTAAAACTGAAGGATATGAAAAACAATGATAGAGAATTATACTCAAAATGTCGAAAAATTACTTTTTTGATATCTAAATTCAGAGGTGGAAAATTGTATGAAAACAATAGATTTAGCAAGGGAAGGATTAAGATTATCCTTTTAAGGCTCTGTATTGTTTCAGTTTATATTTTGCTTTAGAAATTTATAAGGTAGGCCAGTATGATCTCTGACTTGTTTATTCATATTGCCATTAAGGAATGTATAGTAGATGTTTAAATGTATTTATTCGTCATATTGGCGAGGCTATGTATATTTTTACCGACCTTACTACTTATTGACCTAACTAGGCATTGGCACTAAATTCTAATAGGCTATGTATTATATGCTAAATAAATTATATGAATTGATTTCAGTATTTGTTGATGTATTCTATCCATATCCATGATACATATTAGCCATTATGTCAACTTCACCAGATACTTTACAATATGATTGGTAGACTCATTTTTAGAAACTTTGCGAAGAGTTTTTGTATAAAATTTCTGTATGTTTGACCATACAGTACAATTTTTTAAACTCAGTAGAACACACACTGAAAAGCAGAATACATATTAAAAGAGAACAATTTTAATTACATGCTGTTTGTTGGGCATAAGCTACATTAATAAATAGTCCATTATGTGAAAAAAGAAGCCTTAAAGGGACTCCACAGATGTTTTTTTTACATACTTTGAAATACTTTGTCCGAGATTTGTGTACCACTTGATGAAGGTCTGCTCCAATAACTTGTGCTAAATTTTCAGATCATTCCCTCAACCAATTGTTCCAGGGTCAATATTTTTATTGTGCAAAATGACCCAAAAATAAAAGGCGTTACGTTTTTCACTCAGATCAGGCTAATAATTACACAAAAAGTTGATTTTCAATCTAGTTTTGATGATATAGAGGATATTGAATGAGTGTAGGTTAAAGGCTTAATTTGTTGATTGAGTTTAATAACATACAATGATTTCAATACATATATAATAATGAAGCTACACAAATATAATATTCTATTTATCACATACATCCAAAATAAGAGCTGCTTACGTAAAAACAAACCACTTTTTCAATGACGCGCCTAACATTTAGCAGGTCTTTACGATATATTTGTATAACGCAAATGACGTCACATAAATATACATGTAGGGCCGTGTGATACCGTTTTTACAGAATCGCAAAAAAGGCATGCACTGGTATGTGATAAATTTCTTTATTATTTTTTGCAAAATTTTCCATTTTAACTGAAGTATCTAAGTCAGAGGAATTTAATAGAAACACACAACTAAGTAAATATTTTCTCACATATTTTATTGACTTTTGTTTTGTGGTATAACAATAAGAGCTAACATTATAAGTCTTTTTACAAAAAAATAAAAAAAAATACAACAAGAAAGAACAATCATTTCAGAGGTGATCCCCTTGAAAATTAGTAAAGTCTCACAAATACATGTATATACAAATATGCTATATATAGATCAGATATAATTATCATCTCAAGTAATAATTCCAACAAGTAATAAGGACTGTTTAACACGTAGATAAATCACAAACTGAATTAAATAATTCAATAAAAGTCATGGATACTTATAAATGAAATATTGATTCAAACAAGAAGTATATGGAATGTTTATGTTGTATTTTAAATTTATGCCAGACATTTATGTTGCCAAATACAAATAAGATACAATTGCATAAATGTATTATTATCATGGGCTAATTGATAATTTCAGAAAAAAACTTTAATTTATCCTCTATTTCTCTATTGAGCTTGTATTCTTTAAAGTTTAGAACAGTCCATTAAAGCAGCATGCCTCCAGATTCATGCTTATTTTCCTTAGAATTTTGAAAATGTATTTAAAAGTAAAATATTGTGAAGTAAACAAAGAAAGTAATTTGCATAATGCAAATGGCACCTACAATCCTTAAAGCCCCAAAATGAGGTCCAAATACGCAAAAATAGCCCTTGCGGTGGAAATATGGTGATGAAGGCTTCAAAATAAGCCATTAATTGCACATAAAAGTGAGTTTCTTTTTGGCTCATCTTGAGGCATGCAGCTTTAATGCGGCTTTAAGAAACAGTATCATTTCTCCTTTTATGGTATAAATTACATCAGATTTGGCCTTTAAACATAAGCCTCTAAAAAAACAACTACTAAGATGACTAAATTTATCATCGATATACATATTGGCAATATGAATTGCCGCAAAATTTTAATCTCCTTTAACTTAAAAACCTAAAATTTAAAATCCTCTCAGATTTTAGAGTGTCATTCTGTTATGGAAGACTTACAACCCAGTGGAAAAATGATAACAACATCAGATGTATGTCTTGGCCATCACAGAGTCCTGAAAATTAATACAAGCAATTATCATAGTATTGCAAGCAATCCATAAGTCCCCTACCGGTTAGAACCCCAGCAACATTCTGATTTCAATTTTACCAGTGAATGAATGACATGAATGAACTTAAATCTTTTGAGTTCTAAGTTTGTCTATTTCACAGTAATGTGTTAAGTTTCCCTGCCTAGTAAGGCAATTATGTTTATACAACCTTGTCATATTATTACGATGTGGGATTTTAAAGTAAATCCTATAAGGAATGAAGAAGTTGAAGTAAAAAATACCAATTTCTCGAAAAAAATCTAAGTTCAAGGGGGACATAATTCTGGAAATAGTCTTGCTAGAGTATTTAACCTTCTCAAAAATGTTGAGTGATAATAAGAAACATATATATGAAGTTTGAAGTAGATACATTAGGAAATAAAGAAGTTATTTAAAAAAGACAACATTTTTTTTTCATAAAAATTCTAAGTTCAAGGGAGGTAATACTGATAATTTTTGTGCTAGAGTTGTAAACCTTGTCACATATGATGTGGTTGATGACCAGAAACTTATATTTAAAGTTTGAAGTAAACACCTTAAGACATAAAGAACTTATAGTGAAAAAGCTGAAAAAATTAAATCAGAAATCTTGAAATCCAGGCTATTTGTTGCCATAGCAACCAGAATTTTCAATATAGGAAGAAAAGAAAAAGATGTGCATAATCTGCAGACTGCCATCTACCCATATTTTATGTTTCATAAAAATATTTTAAGTACTTTTTGAGTTATCACTGGATCCAGTTTATGTGTTAAATTTGCCATATTTTCAGACTATTTGTTGCCATAGCAACCAGAATTTTCAACATAGGAAGAAAAGAAAAAGACGTGCATAATCTCCATACTGCCATC